GGAAATCTAACCGGTTTAAATTTTCCGGCGGATTTCCGGCGGTTGTCCGGCGGAAGTCAACAAAATTTGACTTTTTAAAGTTCCGCCGGAAATCCGCCGGAAATCCGCCGGAAAATTTCCGGCGGAATTTGTCCGCCGGAAATTCCGCCGGAAATGCCCAGTTTTCTAGTAGTGTAAATAGATGTTCCAATCACAAACTATGTTAAACGGTTGATCTCAAGTCACATGTATGTATGATAATTATGAGCACATGCATACATCTTTATCAATTAATCGTTTTCTTTTAGATTGTACTCACCACAATATATATAGGTCATATATTTTTTTAAAGAAAACTAAATAATTAGCTCCTCTTAAAACAAACCAAACGAATTCAATGTATCCTAATTCAAACTAGGGTCTAAGAATGAGATGTATGCGAACATATCCTCTTTCCTAATAGAGCGGTTGATACTATAAAGAATCTGACTTGTAAAAAACGTAAACGAAAAGGTTTTGACATAAAATACGAACGGAATTTTGGAAAATGAAACATAAAAAGAATTTATTCAATTCTAGAAAGAATTTAGAATCCATATATACATTTAATAGTTGAAAGTTAATTCTTTATAAGAACATATCTGTTTTTTTTTTTTAAATGAAGAGAGTATAATGTTGTATGGATTACAGAATAAAATCTTAATTTATAACAATATTATCCAAGATTATCATATTTTATGTCGAATAAGCATTGTTCTGTAAAGATTTTCCAAGATTATTATATTTGTATATGTACATATATACTTTAGGAGTTTTAATTTCTACATTTTTAAAGAAGTAATATTAACTAGATATTGCTTCTCTTATCCGTACCTGAAGTGGGGTTCTTCAAATTATAGTGTTAAAAGGTCATGATGGAAGCTTAGTTACGTCAAACACTCACTAATAATCGCATCCACACCAAATACAACCAAGCATCATGTAAACCACCCAACAAACGAAAAAGGGGAAGTAAATATTTGGTGCATTTGCTTAAAGGGTTTATTTATTTGAGAAGTTAATTAAGGAACATTTTTGGTGAATCGACTAATCAATGAAGCAGATTAGAGGAGTTTTTAGTGGTGGATTTTGTAGAGGATTGAGCTCTGAGATAAGCAGTGGTGCATGAAGGAACAAGCCCAGCCTCATGATCATCATCAAGATCTCTCAAAGTAGTGTAAGTGCTAGCAAGTTGTGCTTCACTAAGCAACTGCCTTAGTTCCGTGGTTTCTTTCTTGAGCCTATCATTTTCTTGAATAACTTGTTCATGGTTCTCCGAGAAGTGGTTCAGCTTTTCAATGAGCCCTTGGTTCTCGTTCCTGAGCCGCATAACTTGGGTGCATAGCTCATCCAACTGCTTCTGTTTCCTCATCCTGGATCTTCGAGCTGACTCCCTGTTCGATATCATCCTTCTTTGCTTCCTCTCGTTGATGATACTCATCTGGTTCTCGTCAGCTTCATCTGAAGTACTCGAGTTATTATAGCTCAGAGATGAAGATTGTGGATAGAAATCCACCATGGGCATTTGAGGATGAGAACTGGGTTGATGGTAATAAGGTAAGTTTGTCACAAAGTGGAGAGAAGATGGCATGTTGTCGTTTTGGGAAGAAGTGAAGTTTGTAGGGAAGTTACATGAAAGGTCTTCATATTCAGGGGCTAAATAGTAATTTCCAGCCATCTCTCTCTCTCTATATATATAGTTTTCAAACCGATCTCTCTTGCCAAGAAAGAACCAATCAAATATATTATATGTGAAGACGTATGTTTGTATGTATATGAGAGTGATGATATTTAAGAGGATGAGGATAGAATGGATGAGGAATGAATTGAAGCTGGGTTTTATAGGAGATGGAAAGAGCATATATAATGGGTTTGGCTTACGATTGCAAGAGTGGTTTATTAATTATATGATTTCCATAAAAAATTAGCTTTTCAGAATGATGACTTGAGAGTTATAATGGGTATGATGTATGCATATGTTGTGATTGGAGGATGCTACTGTGCATGTATGCAAAAAAACTGTTTCATGTAATTAAGTAGGCCCTAATTTGCTTATCCACAAATATTACCGGCCATATATGACAGATTGATCGCCGGTGGAGGGTAATGAAAGCAGAACTCCCCGGCGGCCATTCACCGTAGAACCATAGAACACTACTGCAACCCTAAACCGATATCTTCTTCTACTTAGCTCACATGAAGCCAAAAGCTTGTAGGAAGAAATTAAAGAAGCTAGCTAGCTATATCTATGGTCTATAGACTATATATACATATATGTATATGTATATGTATATATATATATATATATATGTGTGTGTGTAGTAGCTGCCGGTGGTGGTGGGGCAAAGATAGTGGCGGTGTCATTGAAGGGCCAAAAATTGTGGTTTCTTCCCGATGTTGGTGGCGCATTAGAAGGTAGATTTTGTTTTTTCTTTTACAACTGCAACAAAAACAGCAACCAGGTTGTGATAAACATTCAAAAATGCAGTTTTTGTAATTAATTGACTTTGAGGTTTTGAATCTTTGTTCTAATTCATTAATTCTTAATGTAATAAGAAGAAATATATAAGTTGGCCAGTGTTGTTGGACACATGCATTAAGGCAGAAAATATGGGTTCTTGTAATTTGTTTTCAAGTTTAAGAGACCGTTTACCAAACACTTACCTGGTAAGCGTTTACGGGTAAAATTTAACATTATCATTTACATATCAGGTAAGATTTTAGTCCACCAAGACGCTATCATATGCAACAATTTACCCGGTAAGCTCTTACCATGGTAAGAGTCGTCGCCCTCACTTACCGGGTAAGACTTTTGGTCCTTGTCTCGTTCTTACTAGATAAGATTCTTAATTTTTATCATATTCATCCGGTAAGGTAATGTGACTTGGTATTCACTTACTGAGTAAGCGTTTGGTAAATGGCCCCTAAGTTTAATTTGTAGCTAGTTAAGTCATGGTTTGTACTTAGTTTTATTTGGTTTTAGTACATTTTTGTACTAGAACACTTTCAAGATAGTAACATTTTTGAGTCTTATTAGTTTATCTAACTCTAGTTTTATAAGTTCATTGTTTAAAAAAAATTATGGAATAATTTTTTGTAACATCTTTACATAAAACGTGTCTTGTTTGATCCTATAACTTCTTTTTAATAATTCGTCTACATATTTAAATTTTGGAATCGGTTATTGTTTATATAATTTATGATTGTGAAAGTTTTTTTTTGAAATATATAATATTTATATACGACAAATCTAACAAACAAACTCACACACCCTCTTCACGTTTGGTGAGACTTAAGGACTCACATACCGTTAGGCTAAAGACTCATTATTGATACGATTGTCAAAGTTAATGGTTAATTAAGAGAGATTTGATTTCACAATTAAAGAAAATCAATTGATTTCTCACCATTCTATCCATAATCTATTGGAGCAAAACGTTTGAATAAAGATCCATACACAAAGTTTAATTTTAATTTTTTGGATAATAATTGAGCTTTGTGGGTCTATTTCTCATAAAAGTTAGTAACATTAATTGGGAGTCTAATTATTTGCCAAAGAGAAATAGAAAGTAACAATACTTTATTTTGGTTATAAAATGGAATTTTATAAAGCAAATCTTATAAAGAGATTTGTGAGGGAATTTTACACGACTAAATTTCAAATTACATTTTTTTAAAGTTATATTTATAATTTCAACCTTTTGATAGTATTCTATACAATTAATAGTGATTTAATCATTTGAGAAGCCTGTATATTGTGATAATCGTGAAAACTTTAATCTTAAGATATTATTTTACATGATTTTTTCTCATTTAAAGTTTACATTTAATTAATGTATTGATGCAACATATATTTGTTTCACAATGCGTTTGATTCATATGTATTTGGTTTACAATATTAAATTTTTTTACGTGTAACTTTTATTTCACAAACAGACTAAAACCTATTGTGAACCAAGTACATATGGAACAAACACATTGTAAAAAGAATATATGTTAATAAATATTCTAAATTCTAATCTTAGATGAAATAAATCATATGAAATAGTATATGATGTACTAGTTCTCAAGGTTATTACAATCTCATTGGTTCTCAAAAGAAGGTCCCTAGAACTAATATATATTTCATAAGAGAAAAATTGATTTAGGAACTCTAATTAAAAATCAATTATTCATGATGAATATACCTAAATATTTTTATCAACATTATTATTTATTATGAATATCATATATTTTCATTATCAATTCATGGTATAGAATGAGATTAAGGAGAGAACCCGCCAAGAAATGAAAAACCGTGTAACATCCTTATAACCATTTATTTATACAGTATACATGTACATACAAGTAATTAAAAATGTTTTTCTTGATTTTAATGCAATGATTTGTTACTAGGGTGTTTTTTAATCTTTCATTTTCTTTATAGTTTTTCCTTGAACTTAACTCATCGTGAATATATACTTGGTTCTCATTAACTAAATAAACATAGTTGAATCTATGTTCATATATAATCAACGATGATATGAAATCACCACCAATGATCGTTGAATCAATTTTTTAGGACCGACAAGTTTTGCATCGTGAAATTTACAAATTTATAATGGTAAAACAAAGTGTAGTTGAAAACTTGTACTTGCCAACCATATATCGATGATTGTGTTAAAATTTGTCTAGTAGTATATATATATATATATATATATATATATATATATATATATATATATAATTATCGTATATGTAATATATCGACATATTTTGTGTTTGTGTGGTTGAGCGATGGATGAGTCACGAGGCACTTGATGCTTTTGAGTAGGATGGGTCCCGACGACTCTCTAATTATTACTACAAATAATATTCATGATCAAATGGCTAACAACGCGTACGTAAAAGGTGATACAATTTTGAGTTATATTCATATTTAAATGGTTATTAAAGCTACCACTAAACAATAAAATTTGGACAAAAGGATCGATTCATGTTGCTGTTTCACCTAAATTCTTGTGTCAACTTCCAAGTACGCATCTGTACTTTTATTTTGCATTTATATATTTTATTAATCTCATTAATTTTTCTCTTTCCATAATATGCATTTAAGCATGCATGCGCCAAACATACCACCAATGAGATCGAATTGAAGTCAAATGGATTAATTAAGGGTTTGGTGTTTCGAACTGGAACTGCCAACTTGAGATGAAAAATCTTGATAAAGCGTCGTCAATGAATAGGGTCGATCAAAACTTTGAATAAGAAATGTGCATAGCGGAGATCAAAACAAATTAAGAAAAACAAGTTAGTATCGCTATTTACTTTTGTTAAAAATTTTGGTTTTCGATTACTTGGATTTTTAAAGTGTTTTTCACAAATTAAACATGTTTTTTTCAAGAAAGTTTATCGAAAATTCCTAACACTTTTACACTCTAGTTGTTCAAAGCAAAACGTTTAAACTAATTAATGTAGCACCAGGTACACGAAAGTCGCTCCTAAGTATACATTTCAAGAAAGTTCATCCAAACTTCCTAACACTAGTTATTAATAATTAATATATATATATATATATATAGAGAGAGAGAGAGAGAGAGAGATAAATGGAAATCAAACTATTTGTACCAATCGTGAAACATTCGATTTCATTGTTTATTTTAGTGAAATATTTTCATGAAATTGTTTTATATGATGAAATTGTTTTAAATAATTCATTTAATTATGAAAACGTTTCATATATTTTTGTTTTTATGTAAAAATTAAATTGTTTCATGTATTTATCATTTTGATGAAATTTGTTGACTAAGATTAATAGAATGAAGATGATAATGTCTATAATTATTTGAAACAATTTCATGAAAAAAATTCACTAAAATAAACAATAAAATCGGCGATTTTCACACTTTATACAAATAGTTTGGTTTACATTATATCCTCCCCTCCCTCTCTCTCTCTCTCTCTCTCTCTCTCTATTATTTTATTAAGGTGCTTTAACTTTAGTAATGGTTAGGCAATAAGCATCTCTCCCATGCATGAACCTTCGTCTAAACTTCTCGTCTGATCACATAACTATGTGTGTATATATATATATATATATATTATAAATTGCAGCAATTACATTGTGATTTTTACTTGGTTTTTGAAAGCAGGTTTTGGACACTGTACCATTAATTTTCACGTACTATTTCATCTTCATCATGTTCCACTGAAGCAACCCTATATATGTACGTCTGCCCTCTTTTTTTTTATGCCCTTAGTCTTCTTTTTTTCGAATTTCTGTCTCATCCTTACTTTAAAATGCCATTGGTTCAACATGAATAATATTACCCTCTCCTCTTTCTGCAATTTCTTTTTTCATTTTAATTTGCTTCAATTAGAAACACAAACACACACACACACACACACATATATATATATATATATATATATA